TAAAACAAAAAGCTTTTACTATGTAAAAACGTATCCTCAGAAATGGTATAATTATTCAGATACATTTTACGTCTTCCTGTTAAAGAGCTGAAACTTTTCAATTAGAGCCAACAGAATATTCATTGATTTTAGTAGTTTTTTTAATTTTGAAATTTGCAATTTAAGCAAAATAGTTTTAAATTTTTTACATTTGTGAATGATCAGTAGTAGCAACTGGCTGTTTTTCACCTTTATTTTAACCTTGGCTATGAATCTGAGATTGAAAAACCACTACATGCTGATCCTATAGTGTAGTGTTGAAATGATTAGACTCTTGAAATAGACCCCCTTGTTGTGATTTCCTACTTAGTATTGCTTGCTATGTGACCTTCATCAAACCAGTAAACCCATTTTTCTTGTTGGTAAAAGGGGGAACAACAATTGTACCTACCTTATAGGATTAAATGAATTAATATTTAGAGAGTGCTTACAACAGTACCTAGAATTTTAGTTATTACTGTTTCTAATAAAGTACTTAGGAGATATCTCATATTTCCAATTATGATTAATCTATGCACACTGATAATTCTGCAGGTTTTAAGTTGTATTCATTTCATTACAAAATGGAATTCGTATAGAGATATGAGTTTTTTCAAATGTTAAGATATGTTTCCTTAGTTTTCTTATTGTATTTATTCTTGAGACTATTTTTATACTAATTATGCCAACTGGAATTTTTATAGCACTTTATAAAGCTTTAAAATAATTTATCTCACTTTATGGTGTCTCTAAATGTGCATTATCTCATTGTACCCTGTATATAAGATGCAATGAATTGCCCGGGGTCACACAGCTGTAATTGGGGAAGGTAGAAGTCCAGTCCAAGTATCCTAATTCAGAGTATCTGTGCTCCTTTTCTGATTCACTATGCAGGCTTTTATGGGCCTCCCAAATCAGAACTAGAAGAGTCTAGATTCACCAATGTCTTTTTCCCTTGTTCATCATAAAATAAACCAGAACCAAAGATCTCTCCCACTCTGGGGCATTTTGTCTAAGATTACTATTAACTATCCTTCTTTATTCTTTCATTCGTTCTTTCAGCCAGGAGTTACTGAGTTTCTGTGGGAGATACTGTGCTTTGAAAATTCTTGGTATGGATCCAACCTATTCTCAGTGCATTTATATATATATACTTTTTCCAGTTATAATTGCTATGTTTTAAAAAAGATTTGTGGCAGCCTCATAGCTACATGAAATACAGCAAGGTAATATAAATTAGAAGTTATTGATAAAGGAAAAAATACACACATGCATATGCATACACATACAGTAAAAATATAAAATGCACTCCAAAATGAGACTTAGGAAGCCCTATGTATATACCCTACAGCCCTTGGTGTATGTTATATATGTGGGAAGGCATAAAATGATTGACCTTAAGTCAAAGTATGCCTCTAATGATCAGGCTGAAAGCAAATAAATTACCCTATATATAATGCTATCTTGAAAAACATTTAAAAGAAGGTATTTAAGATATAGTATGTCTATCTTAGCAATACTTAAGCAGAGTATGGAAGGTGATTGATACATGATGGTGATGAGATGGTACTAACAATATTCATTTGGATTTTTACATGGAGTATTTGTGGAGAATGGAGTATTATGAAGGTTTAAATTTTTTTTATATTTGTTTGTCATTGTTTTTTATCTGAGTTTACCCAAAGTTATATTTTTAAGTAATGTCACTGACTTACAGTATTAATGGTTGAGATGTGAGTCTGAATTATTTTACTATATTACGAGAAATGACAGAATTGAGTTTCAGCTGTGTATTGTTTTCACTGATAACTTATGTATCCTTTGGCTTAGAAGTATTTCTTATTTGAGGAAGTGAAACCTACTGAGTCATTTAAATAGACGGAGTCCTCAGTACTTCCTTTTAACATTCACGGAATGGTGGGAACTAGAAAATGAGTTATTTATTGGTCTTTCTTTTCCATTAACACATATTATTTGATATTGCATTAAGTATACATTGACAGAAACATTATTTTAATTATTGTATTAAAGACATTTTTCATGTGTATTTAATCAACCATCTGACAGAAACTAGGGCAGAGTAACCAAAGTATCATTTGAGACTTTGTCGTTAGACATAATTTGCATGTGACAGTAGTCTATTTATAAAGTGTGATGAAGTCATATTAGAGTAAGTACCATTAGAGACACATTCAGTGTGATCTGTGTTTGCAAATCAAAATTAGTGTTCATTGGAGCTGTTTGTTGATCTGATGAGTAATGTACACTCTCAACAACAAAACTGAAGAGAAGATGTATTTTGTGATATCTGCTCTTATAATAGGTACTCTTAACACACATCGGTAATTTGTATAACATTAAACTTTCAAGTAGCATAGAGAAAAATCTAAATTCAGTTTTAGATGAATAGTTCTGTTTTTTCTAGTGCTATAAAGACACAATTATTGCCTTTCACCTCCTCCAGCTTCAAAACTCAGTATTTTCAGTTGCCTCTTATAAGGAAATAGATCACATAAACTAGAAGTCATCCTTAACCAGAGCGATATGTGAGTTAACCCTGGAGGTTCAAAGAGAAACTTACGTAGCCTAATAGTGTGGCTTGCACATTCTATGCACTATACTAAAAAATAAAGTGACTTTCATGATTTTGATTGGGTGGAATAATTTTTAGTTATGATAATTGTACTGGAATTAGATCTTTAAAAAGTTCTTGGTTTTTAGTTATGATACTAAAATATTTACCAATGAATTTATATGATGTGTAGGAGATACTTCAAAATGATCTAAGAGTGGAAGGAACAAGAGAACATGTAGATAAAACTGGATTGAGGATGAATTGATAATTGTTGAAGTCAGGTGATAGGTACTTAGAAATTTATTATAGTTTTCCCTCAAATTTTATGTGTATCTGAGATTTTCTATAATAATTTTTTTAAACGTATGAGTAAATTAAGCGACTATGTAGGTCTCAAAGTACTGCTTTCCGTTCTTCATGTGTTAAAGGCAGAGGGACCATCAGATCTTCAGATCTTGCTTGCTTTTTTTTTTTTGGCACAGGGTCTTACCCTGACACCCAGTCTGAGGGCAGTCACGCTATCGTAGCTCACTGCAGCCTCAAACTCCTGGTCTCAAGCGAAGCCCCCAGCTCAGCCTCCCAACCAGCTGGGACTTCAGGTGTGTACTACAACACCTGGCTAATTTTTTAAACATTTATTTTTTGTGGAGACAAGGTCTTGCTGTGTTGCCCAGGCTGGCACAGCTTGCTGTTAAATAAAACTGTCTTTTTGAAATTGTCTTCTGTAAATCTGTAAAAGTATTCCACTATAGGTACCTAATATGGATCCCTTTTGACTTTTATAACAAGGGGAGTTTTGCCTGGATGATAACATATATTGAATATGACTTCAAATTTAATATTCTTTTTATAAGAGAAAGATTTTGTTTTTCTTATTTACTCCTGTGTTAGAAAATATCATTGCAAGGAGGTTATCAAAAATAGAAGAACTAAATCTTGGTTTTATTATCTATAAAATGATGGAGCAAATAATATTTAATATGTTTTGAAGCCCACTGGACATGAACATGTTTGGTGGGAAACCTTGAAGGATTCTGTATTTATATATCTGTATTTCTTTATACCACCTTAGTTCAACTATTTTACCATTCCAAGTTTATTTTCCAAATTATATACAAGCAGATGAATAAGGGAATGTTGCGATTTATTTTTCTTAAGCAAGCTCAGTTTTTTGTTTTTTGACACTTTGTTTGGCAAAGGAGGTGTTCAATTTGTTGAGCTGAATGAAGCTTAGAAAGAATAAACTATCACAAGATCTGCCACAAAGTAGATGCGAGGTAGTTGTTCAATGAGAAGAGAGGGAGAGAGTTATTCCATCCTTGATCCAAACATCACTGTTGGGCAGGTAGATCACTGATTTCCTATTAAACTAAGTGGACAGGACAGTCCTGAATTAATTATGGAACTGTTTCTTTAAAGACATCAGCTCTCTGCATCCCTTGTCTTGCCACTAAAATGGTGCTATTTCACCCTGTTTCTCCCTTAAAGTGATTTTGTGATTTTTACTACGTTTAAATAACACATTGCTAAAGTCAGGGAATGCAAAACCAAAAATAGGGTGGAGAATATCATATACCATCTTATCTCTAGAAAGCAATGTTGTCTGTAGGGCAAGAAAGCAGTCTTTTTATTTCCCTGCAAATTGTGAATTTTTAATATACTTAGTTTTGAGAAATGAATGTAGGAAACTTTGAGCAAAATGTCCAATAATGACCAGTAAATACATTTCCAGCCCAAAAGTATTTGCACAAATCTTTTTGTATCATATTGTTTAAAAGCAAGATAAGGGGCAAAACTTACTATCTCACAGAGGACTTTATATTCCAAATGAGTTGTATGTCAGGATGAGAGGCTTTCAGGACAGATGATGGCTTTTGAATATAAATGCACACATTTTAATTTTTCCTAATTGTGTATAAAGATTTTAAAATACACAGGCAGTTAAAACAAATATTCAGCCACAGTTAGATGCACAGGTATTGTATTTTTCCCATCGATACTACTGCTGTATTATGAATTTTTACCAAAATGTACTTTTTAATGGAATGTTTAGTTAGTACTGCTGTCTTTTCATAAGGAGAGACATGATTCAATGTCCAGTTTTCTTCAGTACTCTATTGCCTTGATACATTAGAATAATAAGTGAACATTCAGGAGAATAAAGAAGTTTCTTTATTTTTCTTTATTCTATATTAAATTTTTTTTTTTCCTTAGGAAACTGAAGATACTGACCATTTATTGTATATTTTGTTGACTCCCTGTTGTACACACACTACCTCTTCAAGACAAATCTTCCCCCACCTCCTACCCCATAAACTTTTTTTAGGGGGGTGACTTTTATAGTTGTAGAACATTAGCATTTCTCAGTACTGTTTGTTTTGAAACCATGCATTTTCTGTTTGTTTAGGAGTCAGATGGTCAGGGCTGCCCTTTCTGTCGTTGTGAAATAAAAGGAACTGAGCCCATAATCGTGGACCCCTTTGATCCAAGAGATGAAGGCTCCAGGTGTTGCAGCATCATTGACCCCTTTGGCATGCCGATGCTCGACTTGGACGACGATGATGATCGAGAGGAGTCCTTGATGATGAATCGGTTGGCGAACGTCCGAAAGGTAAAACTGGAAACATGGGTTTAGTTAGGGTGGTGTGACCATATGAAAAAGAAATGGTGCTGTCATAAATGGAGTATGACTGAGTGTATTTGAGTTTACAAAAGAAGCACACACACATACTAGGCTAGGCCTGTACAGGGTCATGATCATCAATATCACTGTCTGCTACGTCCACATCTTGTCCTGCTGGAAGGTCTTCAGAAGCAGTAACACACGTGGAGCTGTCATCTCCTATGATAACAATGCCTTCTTCTAGAATACTTCCTGAAGAACCTGAGACCATGTTACGGTTAACGTTTTTTCATTAGTAGGAGTATACTCTAAAATAATGATAAAAAGTATAATATAGTAAGTACATAAACCAGTAACATGGTCATTTATTATCATTGTCACATATTATGTGCTGTGCATAAGTATATGTGCTATACTTATATGCAACTGGCTGCAGAATAGGTTTGTTTACACCAGCATCACACAAACGCGTGAGTAATGCTTTGTGCTATGACATTAAGATGGCTATGATATCACCCACCAGGCAACAGGAATTTTTCAGCTTCATTTTAATCTTATAATATCTTACGGGATCACCATGGTATATATGGTCCATTACCAAAATATCATTGTGCAGGGCACAACTATAATGTTGACAGGCTGATATAATCATAGATTGAGAGAGAACTCGATTCTACTCAAGGTACTCTCATTGGTTTTAAACATCATAATCAGAGGTGATGAGAGTGTTTGTATAGAATTAAACATCATCTAACACTGGCAGTAGCAAATCTGTGAAGAAAAAATTTAAGAAGGGAAATTATTAAATTTAGAAATTGTGAAACAATTTGATTAAAAATATTCTTTGTTCAATTCTAGAAGAAGTGTCTGATAGAGTTTTTTCTTAATGGAAAGGCTGTCTCACTGTTTGGCTTCTAAGAGGTCACATAAGATTTACTTTTGTGAATTTACCAGAGTCTGAGTTTGCTCATCAGTGTTGTTGACTCAGAAAAATTGACCTTGTCAGTTCACTGAGAATGGATGTTACTGCCCAGTTTAAGTTTATATAACCAGGTACACAACAGACTAGTCAGTGAACCAGAATGCCAACTGATTAATTTGCAGACCGGAAATACAGTGTTCAAGGGAAGTAGACTCTTGGATATCAGGCTATTCCCTGTACAGGAAGATACATGAAATCTCAATTACTTTCACAAATTTTTTGCTCTCAAAATCAGAGAAATGGGATTGAGTGGTGTGAAAGGTCTGCATATATGGTGCCACCCTTCCTCCTGACTTGGGCAGACATGGCTAATCAGTCATGATACTTATCATCACTGAGTTCAGACTTGGCCTACAGAGCCTTTTCAAGACGCAGCCCTGAAGATCTTCCACTATAGTTCATTAGGTTTTGGCAGGTAGCATGAAACTTATTTGCCATTGTCACTAGATGCAGTGATGATAATGTGTAATGGCATCAGATTGTATTCACTGTATTCATCTATCTCCGTAGTGAGGAAATGCTTGGTACTGGAATTTCGACAAGGCATTTCTTTGGGTTACTTCATTTTTAGGACTGTGTCCAAGTTTTCCTCTTGGGAAACTCCTGCATTTTCTCCCTCCCAGTGTTCCCTGCTGACCAAATACATTCCCTTAGGATATTTTTACATACAAATTTTTACATAGGGAGATATGTTAACATCACCAACATGGCTACTCTCAAATTTTGCTTTTTTCTGGAATGATTTTTATTATTTATCTTACTGGTTTTTCATAAATTTTGTAATTTAACCCTCAGAGAAACTACACATGAGTTCACGCTTTACTCCTGAAACGTATAGTTTTTATTAATAGTTTGAATTATAGGATTTTTTTTTTTGACCTAAGAAATGGAAGAAAGAAAGTAGTTATTCCTCAGAAATCCTAAAGGATGAACAAAAAAAATAATCTCAAATTGAAACAGACTTGAGACTTGACTCTCAAAAAAAGTTAACTTAAGGAAGACATGAAATAAAGCACCAGTTCTGCTACAGAGTAGTAATATAACCTCTTTCTTCCTCAGTTTACCCCTTTGTAAAACAGAAAAATAATAGTCGCTTCTCTATTGGGTGTTGTGATGATCAGTTGAGATCAAGGACCTAAGAACCTAGAAGAACGTCAGGTCACCAAAGTCATAAATGCTTACTATATTATTACCAATGTTAATTAATAATACTATGTAATACATATTCTAGGACATACTCCGTAATCTGTGTTAGTAGAAATCATTTCATCACTATGCATGTGAGAGAGCTACATATGGGGAGTTGGTGATATTAATGTACTGTTCCCCAGAAGACATAAGTGTGAATACTGGCTTTACAATGTGCAAATACAAACAAATCACATGACTAGTCTGAGCCTGATTTCCTCTTCTGAAAAATGAGAAGAATAATACCTCCCTAAATTGTTGAGAGAATGGCATATGTTATTAATGCTGGTTTTATTGATTTGTGACCCTTTTTACTGAAAGCTAAAAATAATTTTACATTTTAAGTGGTATATATTTAAATTACTATATTAAGTACCTACAGATGTCCTTGATTTTACATCTTGTCCTAAAATATTCACTACCTGGCCCTTTAAGAAAAAGTTTGCATTCCCAGGTCTAGGACATAGTAAGCATTTAAAGAATGCTTATTGAATGGATGGATAATGGAGAATGACAGAAAAGTATTTGAGATACAACAGCTCAAGTAGTTCAAGTGCTCCAGGTAGCAGTGCTTTTTTTTTTTTCTTTTTAGCTGTGAAGACATTTCAATTTTCTTTGCTAAATGGGTTTTCATCTTCAATGATCCGAGTCAGAGGGTGGGTCTAGGCTTTAAGAGAAATTTTTAGAAGAATTTTGTATACCTTACTCCTTGGGAGAAAACAGTATTTGCCCTATGTGAATTTGGGAAAAGTTGCAGTCTCAACCTGCTTTCCATTGAATTAAGTTGAAGCTTGAGCCTCTTTTCAGTAGTGGCGCTAACAATAGAAAGGAAATACTGGGAACATAACATGAGAAGCAGAATGTTCCAAGGTGGCTCTAGTGTTTCTCCTTGATCTTATCACCCACTCCCAAGACCATTCATATTTCATTGTCTCTGGCACACTGGTGAGCTTTCTGCAAGGGAACTGAGAGATTTTTACATTGATGCTTTCTGTTTTTTACCCCACAAAGAGTAGAATGATGATCTGAATCCTTACTGCCCTAGAAGTCACACTTCAGTAACTTATTTGGCAGTCAGCAGTGTCATTTAATAAAGCTTTACTTCACTACAATCTTGTTATACTTTCCTGTGGCCGTTATATAGTTTAGAAATGTATATCACTTGTAATTATTTGTTTTTAAGTTAAAGGGTTATATTTCAATTAAATGTCTTTATGTCTACTCATCTGCCTCTAGTCAATTAAACTGATTGTGACTTTTATAGCATTTCATAAATATATACCACTTAATTTTCAATAAAACCTAAATTTTTATGTAGATACAAGCATAATTCTTTCTGAATAATTTGGAAAATATTGCGATGATGTTATGTTCTTATAGTATTTTATATATACTTCTGTATCAGGAGCTACAGTAAATTGTTATTTAAAGGACTATCTTTTCTATTAGATATTAATACTTAAGGCCAGGGACAGTGCCTTGTGTTTGTGTTCCCAGGCACCTAATGCACTCAATTACTATTTACTAAGTGAACTAATAAATGCACACACCTGCACACGTGTTCCTTTAGGGCAATGACCTAATCTTACGCATGTTTTAAACTTTGTTCCAACCTGAATACTAATACATATATATACACCGAACATCAAACTAATAGATTTTGTCTAGTTTTTCTTACAGGAGTGGTTATAAACAAATGTCACACGGTCATCTTGACACAGTAGTTCTTCTACCTGTATGTTCTCCCTCTATTTTTTAAATCATTCTTCGTTCATTCATGCATTTTCATTCATTCACTCATTCATTTTTTAATTAACTAGTTAATTAATTTAGAGCTGGAGTCTCACTTTATTGCCCAGGCTGGAGTGCAGTGGCACTATCTTGGTTCACTGCTACCTCTGCCTCCCTGGTTCAAGTGATTCTTCTGTCTCAGCCTCCCGAGTAGCTGGGATTGCAGATGCCTGCCACCACGCCTGGCTAATTTTTGTATTTTTAGTAGAGACAGGGTTTCACCGTGTTGGCCAGCCTGGTCTCGAACTCCTGACCTCACGTGATCCAGCTGCCTCAGCCTCCCAAAGTGCTGGGATTACAGACATGGGCCACCATGCCTGGCCTTATTCATTTATTTTTACAACATTTTATTCTGTCAGTTAAAAGAGTGACTGCCAGTGATTGTCCAACAGAATGGTTCCATTGTTTCTATCTGCCATTTTGAATACTCATCTTTTTCTTTTATGAGTGGGCTGATGACAATATTGTGAAATTGTTTCTGCCTGTCTTAAGCATATTACATTCTTTAAATGAGTAATGCTTCCATCGTAGCATGGAAATATACTTTGATTGTATATTCCTGTTACCAAGGTGATACCCCACAGCTGGAGTTTATAAATAGTAGCATACTAAACATATAGTGTATTTCTATTACTTCTTTTATAGTTAAATGTGTTTAATAATGCTAATGCTTACAGAAGCAATAGAACCTAGAAGTCTATAATACATACCTTTTGATTCCCTCTTTGATAGAAGGTATTTTATGATTCTAACTAGAATATGTTTTAGATTTTGCCTGAGTCTATATCGTTGCCTGAGTTTTCAAGCTGTCAGAGTCCTGGGATAATGAGATCAGATGTGAGCGCTCAGAGAAAGTTCAGGATGTGATGGGTAAGATCACAGCCTTCTCTCTGACTTCAATCAGATCACAGCTAAAAAAGAGGATCTGTTGCTACCCAGAGATTTGCTTCCTTTTGCCAGAGGATTAGAAGGAATCTTAGCAGTTTTTCACAGTATTAATCACCAAATACATAACATTTACATTTGA